GAACATTTCCATGATATGTGCACTATCAAAATCCTACCTTCTAGACAGCCTCTGAATGTCCATATATCTACAACAAAATTATAACAAACCTTTGGTGTGTTTTAATATACAGAAGTGGTTCCTGCAGGTCTAGGCTGGCAAGAATTTGAGCTATACAAATATAATATGATGCACGGACTATGTTCCTAATCATCATTTTGTCACTGTGAACGTGACAACAAGTGAATGTTCTTTACTGACATTGAGCACTCTCTTTTTGCCAAGAATATTTGGAGAGGACAAATACCTTTGGAATTCTCGTATTTTTATACTTGGGCCTGCCACATCTTAAATAACTGCTTGTGAGTTTTGAGAACAGTGTGCATGCCTTTTCATAAATCACAGGGAGCATTAAAACTTTAGGCTGTCACCTTAGAAACTCTCCGATGGGTTTTTAATCAGGGTAATTGCCAGCACACAGAACCCATCAGAAGAACTATGGCACCAAAGTGCTTTAAAGCAGAGAGAGTGGAAAACTGTCAGTCAGGAACTTGGCTGTAAAGACTTCTAAACCAATACACTTATTCAGATGGGCAGGACTTGATCCACCAAAAAGCAAAGTTGCACCAAATGTAATCATTAAACATTTCCCAGCAAAAAAATCCCAAACAAACAGACCAGAGAGTATGTGATAGCCACTTTGAGTAGTGTTGCATCTGAGCTGCTTGCATCTTTAGTCCCATTAAAAGGTAAAAGATTAGTTGTACTATTTCCCCTGTTACATGATAAATTGGGAAATGGAAAAATCAAGAGATTACTGATACTTTTTCCCATTTAAACCACTTGTTTGACCTTCCTAGTACAGAAATAGCAGCTTTTCCCCCAGCAGCACAGATTCAGAAGTGGATTAGAGACAAAGCAGCAGAGTTAAGAACTCAAAGCATCAAAATAGAGCATTTATCAGCTAAACATCCCTGTGACCTTGCTCCTCAAAGAACACAAGTCTATTTGTTACATGTCTCAGATATGAACACAGAATGTATATTTTACTCAAAATCAACAGTGTGACCTGTGAAAAACAATTTCTGTTACCAGGGACCAAAAGTCAGAGGTTTTTTGGTTTTTTTTCTAGTGAAATATTAAGCTAAAATTCACATGTCAGGATTAACATAGGAGTGTGATTCTGTGTCTCAGCAGCCACCAGATCGGTAGGAAAGTTTTCTCTGATAAGCAGCTGTCTCAAGAGATGAACAAGGTTGGAACAGCAGAGCATCTGCAGATACATTTCTATCAGAGAATTGATACACAGCTAGAAATCAGGATAAAGGGATATTATTAATATCATAAACAATTTAATTTTCTTCCTGAATACCTGCACTGCTGATGGGAGCATGAAAAAGATTGCTTTTGTGAAGCACAAATAATCCAACTTTTCCAATTATTTAAAGTGTACATAATTCCTGCTGCTTTTTTTGAATTTTTCTTCCCTGGAAGGTAGCAACATGCTTTTAGAACTACATCTGCTGTACTGGTTTTTTTGCCTCTGACAGTGGTAATCTCTTAGGTTTCCACCAACAGCCAAATCCAAAGGCACAGGAATGTAACAGCTATCTGTTTTCAATGACAGGTACTTTGTAAAGTGCAGAGAACATTTAACATCTAGGTTAGGAGCCTTGCCAAATAACTTTACTACATTTCTGAATGTAAGTACTTCTCCCTCTCATGGAGTCTTAGTTTATTGAGAGAAGGAGAATCAGGGAGAGGAATCAATGCATGAACATAAAGGAAGAGTCTCCCTATTCAGGATTCCACTCAGCAGGAGATGAACATTTTGTAATGATATCTATTGTCATATATAAGTTGTAAGCTGTCTGTGTAAAGGACAGATTTTTTGAGTGTTTGTGCAGCATTAATGAAAATTAATAAAAAAAAATAACAAATGTGGAAGAGCTAAGAGCTTCAAAATGAATAGAGGATTGCCTGAACTAAAACCTAATGTACATCCCTTATTTTTAGAAAGCTTCCTTAATAAGATTTTATTTGAGAAGGTATCAGTGTGTGTACTTGATCTTATTTGTTTCATATCATATGATATCTGTATGTCAGCACAGAATCCCCTGGCATGGATCAATGTTTCTTTATATTCTAAACTGCTTGAGAACACACACAAAGACCTCACTCAACTGCCTGATGTAAATGCTACTGCTAATGTTGTGGTACCTGCATAGCTGGAGGCAGAGTTTGACAGTAATAGCCTGGATGATAAACATTAATGTTTTCACTCTGATTTGTGCTGCTGAAGGTGTTGAGATCTTCTGGGATCTGTATTATATCATAAGAGTCTATTCTGTGTAAGAGGCATACACGTTGCCTGGTGACATGATTCTGGCTTTAGCAACTTGCCAGTAATACCAATATGAACAGGAATCCAAAACAGATGAGTAGAGGTTAGCAGAGTAAAACCACTGACCTTCACATTATGCCTGAGGGAGCTGTTCAAGTGATGCGATTAGACCCTTGGGTATGAAGAGAAGAATTAGAGAAATTCATTCCATGTCTCCATTATACTCAAAAGTTTTGCAGTCGTTTTATGGTAGCGTTTTTCTCTTCAATCATTTATGAGATGACATCAGTGAATAAGATGGGTCAAAAGCATTTACAATACCAGTAAAATAGAAAAGCCTCCTTTTTCACCTGCATTTGGGCACTGTGTAGCGGTATCTAATTCGTCCAATTTCCAATGCTTGAGCTAAATAGCACAATTTAAACGTAAGATTCCTCCAGTGGAATCTGGGATTTTTTGAACCAGAAATTTCCATAACTCAAGGGTAATAAAATATATTCTTCAGAACTATCCAAGCTAAAATAGCACCCTTGTCACAGATATTCTCCAAAAACATAAGTGAACTCACAGAGGCAAGTACTGTTTTCCAGCTCTTCTCTGTAGTTAGAACAGGTTCATGGCTTAGGTAAGGCATCTGTGAAAGTATGAATTAACACTTTCAGCATGATTAGCCCTGTTTGGTAAGCAGGGAAAAAAGCAAGCTTCTCTTCACTACATGCCTCTCATCAAATGCCTTTTAGCATTTCAGCTGCAGAAGAATTGGTTTTTTGGCAGGCTTGCTCCATTTTCTTGTCTGTGCCAGCTGGCTCTAGTACCCATGTGGATTAGAGAGTATGAACAGCCAGTACTTCCATACTTCCTTTTCTAGATCTGTCCCTGGAAAGTCACCAGGGTGATTTTATTCCACTAAAAGTCCAACATATACTGCAAAAGAATGTAGGAGAAAAGCATATGATGAGCAAGTGCATAACTCGAGCTTTGAATGCCTGTTCAAGAAATCTGCGGGTCTTGGTCTAAGTCACACAGTCTACTTAGCACCTGGTGATGAGCAAACCTCTGTAACTGGCAGCTCTTCAGCTACCTCTATAGGTGGTCAATAGCAGAACAATAATCCTGCTCCTAGCATAAAGGGAACAGTACTTTTGATGATTATTCCAGGCATAAAGAGGTTTCTGTCCCATTGCACGGATCAGTTTGATTAGTGTGTTTTTTTATTAGCTGTTTTTAATAAGAAGGTTGATAGGGAAATTCAAAATTGCTTTACCCTTGATTATGTATATTCTATCTTAGGCTATAAACATTCAGTACTTTCCCTGACTAGGAATGCATTTGTCCTTCCCTTTTTCCTGTCTTTGCAATACAAATCTTTCATTATAAGACATTGGACTATTCCAATTATAGAACATTGTAGGAATTTACCAGCCTCCTGGCAATTTAGCAAGTAAATTATTGATTCAAAGACACTTTAAGCCTGTTAAAGAAAAGCTTAAAATTTGCCGATTTATTGTCTTTATGTGGTTAAAATTTCAAGTCCACATAATCAAAGTCTTCCAACAATCTCAGCACATGGCAAGACTCACAATGCATCCCATGAAAGTCAATATACTCTATAAATTGCCTAGAGCATCTCAGACAAACACACAGTTCTTACAGCTTGTAGTAACTGGGCTCTAAAATGGGAAACTTCCTCTTGCACAGGTGAAAAATCATGGATATCTCAGTATATGACCAAACTATTCAGTAAGCTTCATCATTTAGCACCTTGTACTTGTTAGAAGGCTGATGTTGTATGATAACATCTGAATAAGAATTATATATGTATACATGTGCATAAGGAAAGACTTTATTTGGGGAGCCAAAACCTCTATTTTAGTTATGCCTGGTTGGTAGCTCTGACCAAAGACCTTACAGTAGCAGACCCCTTGACTATATTTTACTGAACGTGACAGCCACATATTTCTTATCCTCCTGCCAAGATTTTCTTGTGGTGTGGAGTTGTCAGTCACCCCATGATAGGAGTGCAGGAAGGTAAGCAAGAACCTTTTTATAAAAATGACAATGTTCTTAATATACATGCTTGGAAAACACCATGTCTCACTCCTATATGTCCAAGTGGCTCTATAAATGTAGGATGTTTCAGATAGACTAGAGAAATTGTAATGTTTAGTATTCCATAGTTAACCTTCCTGATATTAAGACAAATCCCTTCATTGTTATTGCTCTGTCTAGTGTTTATTTCCTGAAATTTTTTCCCCATTAGGAATAGATTGGAAATACAGAACAAGAACCATAGCCAAGGAGAGAAACTAAAGAACAATTTCATTTTCTACAGTGTGCTCAAACAGGAAGATCCTTATTGTGGTCTCTTGAAACCATCAACTTTTCTCTTTCTTTTTGCTACTTCACCTTTCCCTTCTCCCCTCTCACACTTCTATCCCTCATGGGAGGAAAAAACCCTCAGTTGTTTCTCCAAAATGATTGCAATCTCTGTGTCATCTCAGATAAGTTACTAGCAGCAGGTGAGAAGTGTTGTAAAATGACTTGCCTGTGTTTTGTAAAATAAAATTTGTCAGTGAAGTATGTACTTAGAGTCTACTCTGGGGATTTTCTTTTTCTCACCTGTTCTGTTTCCACTCTCAGTCTCTCACACTTGTAGAAAACAAGTACTTACCAAAGGCGCTTCAGGACTCCTACTCTTGTCTCCCAAAATGTTAGCAGGAAGAGAGAATATTCTTGGGCAAGAACTCTGGCCTTGCTCTTTGTTTTCCCCCTCTGTGCCCCTGATAGTTTGAGATAAAAATAGACCAAAACAAAAAGGCTGACTAAACGCTCTTCCATGGCTCAGTTGTATGAAGAATTTTCTCAGCATCTCCAGTAACAGCAATTTCAACTCTTTGGCAGGGCATTTTGGAGACTGTTTTCTTCTTCACTGCTTTATGAATTTTGGCTTACTGAGCAAATGAAAGTAAACATCCCAGGATATCCAGGGTATCTCTGTCCTACGCTCTAATGGTTCAAAAAACTGTCAACTAAATCTTCTGATTTCGTTCAGGACTTCTAAATGAAGTAGATAAAATGAGCTGGGTAGGCCAAACGTTCCCTTCTCCCATTAAAAATTAATGTTTACAAGCATCGAAGATTGCTATCCTTACTTTAGCAACATGTAGATGTGATAGAGGAGGAGACAGAATGATTTGACTGAGCACTGTAATACAGTAATACAAAGTACAATGTACAATATACAAAATACAAAGTCAGGATAAACTGTCATGAAGCTCAGTGCTTACTCTAGTTTAGATTTGTAAGAAAGAAACAGGAAAAATATATACAAACTTTGTTAGAAGCTTCCTAGAAACTTTGAGATATTTATTGGGTATTTGGGAAGTTGATATTTTGTACTCCTGATTTGGTTTTAATAATCTATTATTTTAGGTATCTAATTTTCTTCTTACTTTTCAACTGTCATTACTTTTGTATAGAGAGTTTTACCCCAATTGTTGTTTCTTATTCCTTTATTTTTTCAAAAAAACAGTAGTAAACCTGAAATATAAATTGGGAGAATAACATCCTTCAGTTATTCATATTGAGATTTATATTCTATAAACAAGCATGTTTGTATTTTTCTGTACTACACCTTACATACCCTAGACTTCTGATTTTTGTAGTTGTACCTTTAAGGACTTTGTATGCTGGGAAGCATGGCAGTTTTTTTCCAGAGTGCACAATAACGTTCCAGAGGTATTCAAAGCATCTGTTTGAAAGAAAAGAAACATAAATAGAGGAGGAAACTTTATATTCCTCTTGTTGGAGTGGTTGGCAAAATACTTTTCTTCAATAAACCCCACAATATTATGTGTGGATATCTTAAATATTCCTGTATTGTCTTAACATCTTAAAATATATAATCACACATTCTGCATTAGGTCTCCTGTACCTGTGTTTTCATTTACAAATGGTGTTCAGACTTCATAAAGCCATGAGTGAGAATGAGAATAGTTGCCGTTTGATTACAGGAAGAGAGGCTAACATGAAGTCTATCCAAGATACAGGTTTAGATATGAGCTTCCATACAAATAGTACTGAAAGTTCTGAAATATTTTTTTCTTGCTATCACCTTGGAGACAGTTTGTACCTAATGAAAATATATTGCAGGTCCTAACGTAGTAATCACTATGAGAGAAATTGCACATTTTTAATCCTTTAAAGATGTCTTTTAAATATTATCTATCCTCTATGAATATTTGATGCTCATTAAATATTCCCTGAAAAAGTAAAAATAACACACTTGTCAAAAGATTTTGGCAGCAGTAATATAATCAGAATGGTTTTAACTTCTAGAATTAGTAATACATTCTCTTTCTGCAGGCCCATCTCACTCTCAAAAATTAGAAAGATAAATTCCCAAAGATGGAGGACAAACAGTCTGGAAAAGGTCAGAGGGAGCAGAAGTAAAGCTACAAGGGAGGAACCATGGGATGTATTTCTGTCTGTTTTCTTCTATAAGAAAAATATGTTGTGAAACATCATTTTAAGAAAATGTATTCTGTATTCCAAAGAGCTTAACTGCCTAGATAAATCAACCCCTCTCTCCAGACTGCAGAATATTAGAAAGACGAGATAAAAGAACATAACAGAGTGGTCAAAATCAAGGGTATACTATTAATTCCATTCTCTTCCCTTTCCCTCATCCCACTGTAGATCTGTGTGCGTAGGTCTGTGCATGCGTGCTCATGCACACATAGGCACTTCACTTAGCCTGACTAGTTTAGTTTAGTTACAGAAAGTGAAGCTTTCCTAACAAAATCCTCTGTTTAACAACTGTGGTGTAAATCTGATTAGTACATATTTTCAGGCTTATAAACCTTATGTCTCAGCAATTTTTGCGGCCTGAAACTTCACAGGATAACATTCATCCAAGAAAGGTTTTTATTTTGTCATTATAAAAGATGTTATTTCAAAAAGGTTCCCATTTTAATTTATCTAAATCTGTTTATTATTTGGTGTAAGGCTGATGTGACCTCTGTTCATGCCTCTAATGATAACAAAAGCAGTAGTTTTTCTATAGTCTGTTCAGTGACTGATATTTTTTTTATTGAATTATTCATCTGCCCCCTACTTTTAAAATTGCTTTCTCATGATAGATTTTCATTCCAAGCAGAGTAGCACTGTTGCGAATTTCTTAGGTGTTCTATCAGTTAAAGATGTTCCCTGTTTACAGTCTTGAAGAAGCTGTAACAGGCTTTAATACTCACAGTCATTACTGTGCATCCTGAGTATGCAAATGCAGTAAAACTGTTATTCCTCTCTTAACATTTCCTTCAGGGTCTGTACTGTGAGTTAACACTTGGTTATATTAGTGAAGCCAGGGAAATGATATGTTTAACACTGCAGCTCAGGAAATGTATAGTTAAGTGTCAGTTATTAGCTTGGCCATAAACCTCCTTTGCAACATCAAAAAATGGCATTTATCACCTTAGGAGAAGGCTAATTAAGCTAGAGGACTTTGTTTAAATTCCCAAATAGCTTGCAGTGCATGAAGGTCCCTTGTGCATAATCCATTCTGATTCAAAATGCTACAGCAAAACAAGAGCAAGACAGAGACTGAACTAGAGGAGCAAAGGGGCCATGGATTAAAGGCACATACATTATTCAAACATTTCTCTGGCTTCAGTGGAGAATTGAATTAAAAGTTTTTGAGCTTTCATTATTTGGATATGAAACTAAGTTCTTCCTTCCTGGAGAGGCAAGAGTGTCTTATCAAAATGTTGGCCAGCCTTTATAAGTGAGGTATATAGGTATTGGAGTTAAGTGAATACCAGCATGAGCTTATTCTCCTTATAACTTTATACACAAACAAGCTGGGACCATTCTTTTTTCTTTTCTTTTTTTTCTTTATTTTTCTTTTTTCTTTTTTCTTTTTCTTTTTTTCATCTGTTTTTTTCTGAAGGAACCTTTTCATTCATGTTTCTGAAAATCGTATCCCTGTTCCGTAGGTATGTATCTATATGAGTAGTAATGGCTACAGTAAGTGTAGTCATTGTGATGTGATGCCAGAATTGCAGCTGCAGTGAGCAGTACAAAGACTTACTTGTGGATCTGGAAAAGAAAGTGGCAGTCCCAGAGTGGGCACAGGATTCCTATAGCAGTAAGAGGAATCAGAACCCATTCTGGGCCTGGTACCCAGAATGGACAAATGGTACCACAGATTTTACAGAAAGTAATTGTATATAGAGAGATAACCGGATATTAAAAATCTTGTTGACAATGCTATACATTATAATAGCTTTACTAAAAAAGGCAAGCTAACTCTTTTACATGAAGTAGATCAGCAGATTTTTAAAGGAGTTATGGAAATAACTAACAGTTTCTGACAAGATGTGGGAAGAATTTGAGCTACCACCTATTTGAAGGGTTTTGAAAGATTTCTATATACAATCATGATTTGAGAAAATGCAGATTTATTTATAATGGCAAGAAGCAAATAATTCATAAGATCCTATTCTGAAAGCAAAATAATTACTTCAGTTGGGAAGGATAAAAGTACATACTGATGTGTATATATACATGCATGTGTATAAGTGTTGAAGACTTGCCTGCTTCAGATTCTTCCAGCTTGTAAACTACTTTGTTCATTAACAGATTATGCACTAAAGCCAGAGTGGTTTTGCTGTCTTGCAGCTGAATTGGTCAGCCCTCTATATAAGTGTTATTCTGTGTGGAATTTGACCTTTTTTTGGTTTACCTGTTGAGGAGAATCCTAGCTTTGCATCTGCTCATGTCTTTGCCCTTTATCCATGGAGTTATGTGTACTATCATCTTTCTTTAGAAAAAAATTAATTAGTTTATTCTCACACGGTAATGTCTATTGATTTGTTTCCTTATGTTTTGATTGTGCTAAGACAAATATCTTCTCTGCTTGACTGCTACTTACATGTAAACTTAACTACCAATTACTTTTCATATATTCCCTTCCTTTGTTCATAATAGTGATTGAGAACAAAACCTGTCTTCTTTAAAAATGTATAACTATTTAGTTGGCTTTAGATTGGAGTCATTTGGATGAAAGTTCACTAATTCTTTGTTTAAAAAAAGAATTCTGTTGTCTTTAAAGGAATTTCAAGATATTCTTTGCATTAGGGTCTTACGGTAAATGAGCCCACTGGAATAGTGGCTCAGATAGTTTTCAGTGCTTACAAGAAAAGAAGGTGAATAACATTTAATGCACATTCAGAAACGTGCAGTGTCTTAGACTAGGTTAGGAATAAAAATGTTTGGATTGTTGATGCTTCAAGGCAATGTGTAAGTATTTCTGTTAATACAGTGATTCAACTATAATGAACATTCTGTAGGATCACAGAGTAAGAGGGAAAAGGAAAAACAGGCAGAAATTTCCAGCTCTTTGAGAAAAAAAGGCTATCTGGAGATAAGAGAAATTAGAAGAAAAAAGTAAAGGAAAAGGATAGAAATGAACTCTAAAGTTCAGTAAGTCAGTGGAGTTTCCCCTATGTTGAAATTACTTTCAAATGCTTTCAAATTCAAGTCTAGGTTGGGAATCCTTTCATTACTGTTCCCTCTACCCTCCTATTACAGCTATCTTTCTTCCCTGTGAGAAAGATAAAGTTTCTTAAGAGGAGCTGGAACTGTGGCTGAAGATGAGTGTCTTTCTGATATCTTTTGAGATGAGAGCAGCACTTCACTACACTTTGTTATGAGTTGTAAAAGAGTAACTTCTGGTGGTGAGATCTACAGTAGCTAGCAATTTAGTGTGGTGGAAGTAAGGCAAACAGACAAAAAAAAAAAAGGTGTTGAAGCCCCTACAACATTACAGGCAGCTTAGGATTCTTACTTGGGACTAGATCTATTCTTTTCACTCGATCAGTCATCCTCACTACGCAAAAGGGTCTGTCCCTGGAAAGGGTTTGAAAATATGGTGCACACTTCAATCAGAGAATCTTGTTTAACTCTCTCCCAAAAGAATCTACTTAACATGTATTAGAATTTCTCTGCGAAGAGACCAACACAAGAAAAATTGGGTTGAGAGTTTTATTTCAACCACTACACCAAAACACATTCTGTTCTGTCTCTGAATATCAAAGTTATGACTTTTTGTTGAAGGAATAACTGATAAAAGGGTCTGATAATGGCAAACAAATCTTACACAAATATTTCTCGTTTTGATAATGTTTTCCAGCTTTTGTGTAGTTACTGATAGAAATCCTCTTCATAACCTTCTCTGAATTAACATGTTAAAGAAATCCACTCCAAGTTTTAGTCTTCTGCAGAAAACTAAGAACATTACTAGGTTCTGTTTGGATGCCCATACCACATAGGCAGGATCAATAATGGGGATAATTCTTTTAATACTGAGCCATAAAATATTAACTCAAAAAGCAATTTTGTTGGGATAGATTTGCAAATCCTTTCACTGTTGTCTCTTCTGAAGAATTATATTCTATTTTAGTTCACCTGCAATTTAACACATAAGTTCTATAAGTAAATGAGCTGTAACATGCCTTCTTTCCCATTATGTGTGTCCAGAGACATTACTGCTATCAAAAAGCTTCTCTCTGCTGGGTATTACCCCTACCATAAGGGAAATTAAGTGAATTTTGTTTGGTCACACTAGATTCTTTGAGAAAAGTGGTTTTTATTGTCAGTTTTTTGGTTTTTTTTTTTTTTTTATTTGGATTGGAAATAAAGCATTTGCCTTCAATTCTTCATAATAGTCCATAATATAGCAAATATAGACAG